CGGTCAAAATGTAAAAGTCCATTATTTTTTATGGAATGGCAGAAAACGTTAAACATTGCTATATTTCCTTCCTTCCTGTCTTTCTTCCTTTCTTTCTTTCTTTCTTTTTTCATTCATTTCCCCACTGAAAGCAATTATTGTCTTTTCCCCTCTTTCTATTCGGTCAAAATGGAATAGTCCATTATTTTTTATGTATTGGCAGGAACCGTTTAAGATTTCTATATTTCCTTCTTTTTTTTTTTTCTTCCTTTCTTTCTTTCGTTCTTTATTTATTCTTTCTTTCTTTCTTTCTTTCTTTCTTTCATTTTTCCCACTGAAACCAATTAGTGTCTTTTCCCCTCTTTCTACTCGTTGAAAACGTAAAAGTCCATTATTTTTTTTTATGTATTGGTTAAACATTTCTATATTTCCTTCCTTCCTTCCTTCCTTCCTTCCTTCCTTCCTTCCTTCCTTCCTTCCTTCCTCCATTCCATCCCTTCCTCGCTCCTTCGTCCTTCATCCTTCCTTCCGCCTTTTCTTTCCTTCCTTCATTCCTTCCTTCCTCCTCCCGCCCTTCCTTCCTTCCTTCTTCCTCCAACTCTCCCTCTCTTCCTTCATTCCTTCCTTCCTCCCTCCCTTCCTTACTTCCTTCCTTCGACCTTCTTCCTTCCTTCGTCCTTTTTTCCTTCCTCCAACTCTCCCTCCCTTCCTCCATCCCTTCCTTCCTCCATCCCTTCCTTCCTCCCTCCCTTCCTTCCTCTCCATCCCTTCCTTCCTTCGTTCTTCGTTCCTTCCTTCCTTCCTTCCTTCCTTCCTTCCTCCCTCCCTTCCTTCCCCTTCCTTCCCTTCTTTCCTTCCTTCCTTCGACCTTCTTCCTTCCTTCGTCCTTTTTTCCTTCCCCTTCCTTCCTTCCATCCCTTCCTTCTTTCCATCCCTTCCTTCCTTCCTTCCTTCCTCCATCCTTCCTTCCTTTTTCTTCTTTCCTTCCTTCCTTCCTCCCTCCTCCTTCCTTCGTCCATCCTTCCTTCCTTCTTTCCTCCCTTCCTTCTTTCCTTCTTTCCTTCCTTCCTTCCTCCCTCCTTTCTTTCCTTCCTTCGTCCTTCCTCCGTCCATCCTCTTCCTCCTTTCCTTCCTTCTTCCCTTCTTTCCTTCCTCCTTATCCCCTTTTCGTCCTTCCTTCCGTCCTTCCTTTTCTTTCTTTCCTTCTTTCACTGAAACCTGAAACCAAGGTCCATCTTTTCCCCTCTTTCTACGCGACCAAAACGAAATAATCCATTATTTATGCGGTATTCGCTGCAAACATTAAACTTTTTTTCTTTCTTTTCTTCCTTTCCTTTCGTCCTTGCTTTCTTTCTTTCTTTCTTTTCTTTTCTTTTCTTTCTTTCTTCCTTTCATTTTTTCTTTCTTTCTTCTTTTCTTTTCTTTTCTTTTCTTTCTTTCATTTTTTCTTTCTTTCTTCCTTTCTTTTCTTTCTTTCTTTCTTTTTTTCTTTCTTTCTTTCTTTCTTTCTTTCTTTTCTTTTCTTTCTTTCTTGCTTTCATTTTTTCTTTCTTCCTTTCTCTTCTTTTCTTTTCTTTCTTTCAATTTTTCTTTCTTCCTTTCTTTTCTTTTCTGTTCTTTTCTTTCTTTCATTTTTTCTTTCTTTCTTCCTTTCTTTTCTTTCTTTCTTTTTTCTTTCTTTCTTTCTTTTCTTTTCTTTCTTTCTTGCTTTCATTTTTTCTTTCTTTCTTCCTTTCTCTTCTTTTCTTTTCTTTCTTTCTTTCTTTTTATTTTCCCACTGAAACAAAGAAGTCTATTATTTATGCGGTATTGGCAGGAAACGTTAGACATTTCTATTGGGTTGGTGCATAATTATCAGGCGTTTTTTAAACAACATTTATAATGAAAAAAAAAGAAACACAACAATTCAACAATAACATTTTTAAATGATTATCGACACGTCATTTTTATAACCTGAAAAGAAAATAATATTTTTTTATTAAAAAAACTAAACAAAACTGCAATTTTTATTAACAAATAACTCGCCTACAAAAACGCCTGATAATTATGCACCAACCCAATATATTTCTTGCTTTTATTGAAACAAATTAGCG